TGTACCTGACTTCTGCCGATTTTTTTTTTCGGCGGAACTTTTGGAGGCCTCTGCCCCTTGATCGCCTGCAATTTTTTTTACGGACTATGGTTTTTTTTGTTTTTCGGCGGAACTCCACTACACAAATTATGCACCTGACATCTGCTGAAAATATTTTTTTCAGCGGAACTTAGTATTCAGACCTATGGTTCGGCGGAACTCAACATCACAAAATGTGTAGTGGACTTCTGCTGATTCAATGGTTTTCCCTAGGATTTCTGCTGAAAATATTTTTTTTCGGCGGAACTCAACATCACAAAACGTGCGCCTGAGTTCTGCTGATTTGTATGGATTTTCGGCGGAAGTTCATAAGTTTAGTAACAGAGCGTCCCTGCAGCATTTTCTCTCACTGGCTTGTTACTGACCCAGCTGCAATGGACGCAATGGAAGAGGATTGGAGTGAGCCTGAATTTCAGGACACTGAATTCAAAGTATGCCCCGTTTAATTGATGGACTCTAGGTCCTCTAACATATATTCTCAAGTTTTTTGGGAATTAAATCTTGTATGGGAAATATCACCCTGCCACACATATATATATAATATAAACATCATACATATATACATATATGTGTTTCTATCCAGGTATGTACACACCGACACATAAAAGACATATGTGTATATGTAAATATATATATATATATATGTTTGTAGGTCTGACATACGTACATATATATATATATATATGTATGTGAATATATACTTATGAGTATACATATTTCATCGGATTCAATATGAATTCGACACACACACACACATATATATATATATACAACTGTCTATATCTATCTATCACCCTGAACCACCTCTTGGTGTGTGTGTGTCTGCGGAGATGGGAATGCTGTGTTATTCTCTATTATCTTAAATATATTTTAATCAGTTATATTTAGTATGAAGGAAGTATATGTTGGTATTATATCACATGACATATATATATCACATGATCTGAATACAAATACACAAACACATATATGTTATATAGTTATATAATCATATACGTGTACCTATATACATATATATTTATACATAGCTATAATTTCGTATGGGTATAATATGGGGCTCAAAGGATCCAAATTGATGTCCCCAAATCAAAATCCCAAGCCCCATAATTGACTGCAAAAGTTTAATGTTTGGAAATTTAAATGGGGAATGCATTTGCAAGTGTTGGGGGTTTAAAACGTAAGGAGAGAACCAAATCCAAAACGAGGGGGGTGGAATCCTTAACGGTGGAACCCATATAATAAAATCTGATGAACGAGCGAGGAAATAAAGTCTGACATGGGAAAATAATGATGAATATAAAATTGAAAACGTTCGGGGATAGTCTAGAATCTAGATGGATATCTAACTGGAATCTATGGGGCCGTTATAGTAAATATTATGCAGCGGGCGATTTTGAAAACAAATCGGACTCCAGAAGTCTTGTTCCGGGAAACCAGAACGGATCAGGATACAAATATCTCGCTAGCATTTAGTACGACGGAAAACTTGGATATATATATATATATAGATAATAAATTTTACAGTATCTAAAACCATGACTGCAAACTAGAATTCAAACCCCAAATCAAATTCAAACAGCCCTGAATCAAATACAATTCCTTTTCTTCAGTTTTTGGCGATCGAACTTCATTTCGTGCGAAAGGGTTGCGCCGGACAAGTCGAAATCGCAATTTTACCTCAGTTTTTGGCGATCGAACCTCATTTCGTGCGAAAGGGTTGCGTTTCGTGCCGTCTAGGACAAGAGGAGAAGATGTGAAGATGTGAGGGCAAGAGGGCAAGAGGGCAAGAGGGCAAGAAGGCAAGAGGAGAAGATGTGAAGATGTGAGGATGTGAAGATGTGAAGATGTGAAGATGTGAGGATGAGAAGATGTGAAGATGAGCAGATGTGAAGATGTGAAGATGAGCAGATGTGAAGATGAGAAGATGTGAAGATGTGAAGATGTGAAGATGAGAAGATGTGAAGATGAGAAGATGTGAAGATGAGAAGATGTGAAGATGTGAGGATGTGAAGATGTGAAGATGATGAGAAAATGTGAAGATGAGAAGATGTGAAAATGAGAAGATGTGAAGATGAGAAGATGTGAGGTTGAGAAGATGTGAAGATGAGAAGATGTGAAGATGAGAAGGTGAGATGAAGATGTGAAGATGAGAATATGCGAAGATGCGAAGATGAGATACAGACCCCTATTTTGGAAGAACCCTGCGCTCAGACGCTCTCAGGAAAAACATGCTTGGCTCGGTGGGACAATCAGTCACCGACTTTTGTGAAAATCTGCCACCGCCTTTGCCGACGTGGAGGAAATTCGTCACCGGTTTTGGGGACATCAGCCACCCACTTTGGGAAAAACAACAGAAAAATCAGCCACCGACTTCGGGAAATTCCGTTTTCAAGAAATCCGTCACCGATTTTGGGGAAATCTGTCACCGACTTTGGGGAAATCCGTCACCGACTTTGGGGAAATCCGTCACCGACTTTGGGGAAATCTGCAACCGACTTTGGAAAATCCGCCCTCCGACTTTGGGAAAATCAGCCACCGACTTTTTGGGAAAATCTGCCACCGATTTTGGGGAAATCTGCAACCGATTGTGGGGAAATCTGGAAAATCCGCCCTCCGACTTTGGCAAAATCAGCCACCGACTTTGGGAAAATCTGCCACCGATTTTGGGGAAATCTGCCACCGACTTTGGAAAATCCGGCGTGCAGGAAAATCAGTCACCGATTTTGGGGAAATCTGCCACCGATTTGCCAATCAGCCACCGACTTTTTGGGAAAATCTGCCACCGATTTTGGGGAAATCTGCAACCGATTGTGGGGAAATCTGGAAAATCCGCCCTCCGACTTTGGGAAAATCAGCCACCGACTTTGGGAAAATCTGCCACCGATTTTGGGGAAATCTGCAACCGATTGTGGGGAAATCTGGAAAATCCGCCCTCCGACTTTGGCAAAATCAGCCACCGACTTTGGGAAAATCTGCCACCGATTTTGGGGAAATCTGCCACCGACTTTGGAAAATCCGGCGTGCAGGAAAATCAGTCACCGATGTTGGGGAAATCTGCCACCGATTTTGGGGAAATCTGCCACCGACTTTGGAAAATCCGCCCTGCGGGAAAATCAGTCACCGATTTTTGGGGAAATCTGCCACCGATTTTGGGGAAATCTGCCACCGACTTTGGAAAATCCGCCCTGCGGGAAAATCAGTCACCGATTTTGGGGAAATCTGCCACCGATTTTTGGGAAGTCTGCCACCGACTTTGGAAAATCCGCGCTGCGGGAAAATCAGTGACCGATTTTGGGGAAATCTGCCACCGATTTTGGGGCTGCCACCGACTTTGGAAAATCCGCCCTGCGGGAAAATCAGTCACCGATTTTGGGGAAATCCATCACGGACTTTTGGGAAATCCGTCGCCAATTTTGGGGAAAATCCGTCGCCAATTTTGGGGAAAACGGCCGCCAGTTTTGTGAAGCTCCGTTTTCAGGAAAAAAATGTCTCCATTTTTGGGAAAAGCATGTGCCGTTTTTGGGAAAAACTTTTTTTTTCGGGACCAAGTAGCTCCGTTTTGGTGAAAAACTGGTTTTTTGGATTGGCTTGGGACAAAGCTCAAGTCTCACTGCTTTGAACGCTACGCATGTTTGGGTTTGGATTTTTGAGGGTTTAGGACTGGGTGTCACTAAAAAGTCAACCAGTGGGAAGTTGGAAGGGTAAACTGTTCAAACCTATAAACTTTGATGTTCAACCTGTTTTGTTAGGTACTTTTATGAGATGCCACAAGCACAAATTGATATACATAGTATAAATATACTTAAACAAATATTAAAATATATAACTAACTAATACTAACTATATATATACACAATATGCCTTGTTACTTTGTAAGTAGTGGAGTTGAAATCCCAATGACGAATGAAACCTTTGACTTTATTTGGAACGGTTTTGGAAACAAAGAACTCAATGACAGCGAAACGTCTTCTTCGTCTGAAGAAAACTATAAAGCAATTTCACCAGTCCAAAAGCTGACAAAACCCCAATGGAGAAAACAAGATGACGGATATTACAACAGAAAACCGAACGACGAAACGTATTTCCAAAGATATTACCAAGAGAAAACCAAACAACAGTGCGTATGCGATATATGCGGTTCTGACTTAAGTTGTAAATCAAACTTGGCAAAGCACAAGAAAACGAAGAAGTGCCAGAGGTTCTTGGTTTGAGTTCACTATGATTTTATGATACAAGAAAATATCATGAAATTATAACCTAAGTATTTGTAATGACAAGATTGGAAAAAGAAAAGGTATTGGAAAAAATACGACGTGGACGAGGGCTTCAGTTCGGTGAGAGACTTATATGAAACAACTGAGCAGGTTGATGCAGGCATAACTTTGGATATGGTATCTACATGGATGGGGGCACAACCCAACAAGCAAACAAGAAACTACAAGAACTACAATTCCTACACTGCACCCTTCCCGAAGTATGAATTTCAAATTGACTTGATGGATGTCACCAGTTTGCTGCGAGACGTAGGTTCTGAAATCAAAAGTCAACTAAGATATGGTTTAGTTTGCATAGATATATTCAGCAAAAATGTCACATAGTCCCTATCGAGAATAAAGATGGTGATGACGTTTATAAAGCAGTCATGGAGTGTTTCATATTGGGTCAGCCTTTGTCGATTTACAGCGACGACGAAGGAGCGTTGAACAGCAAGAAGCTGCAAGCATTTTTTTATGGAGGAAGGTATAACACACGTAATAACAAAGACGCATGCAAATCAGGCAAAAGGATGATACGCACGGTCACAAAAATGATTGGGGACAGATTGAGGCATTACAAAACCAAAACATGGGTGGAAGTGCTAAAGCCCTCAATATAGCTAAATCACCATTTTTGCGGGTGAATCGCCCCGGTGTCTCAACCCAACCACTGTTCGCGCTCCCAACGCGCGCTAAGAGCGACGCCTGCCATCTCTGCAACGCTCCGCGCATCCGCGGGCGCTGGGAAGTCGGGGGCTCGGCCACCATACTCCTGGAGGACTGATTGTTTTTCTACTTGGGAGTGTGGTTCCACTTGTAAGTGGATAAATAACGATAATGTAAGGCATGTTACATGCCTGGGATATATATATATATATATATACTTGTTATATATAACTGGGATACAAGTGGGATGGAACTGTGACTTAAAAATCAAAGTATAAAAGTTGTGCAACCAAATATAGCTGGGATATAATAAGTGGCAATTATTAAAAACAAAGAAACATATTAATGTCAAGTGAGGATTAATAATCCCCCCCGGATTAATCAACCACCATTGCCCAAAAAAAAAATGTAATTTAAAAACAGGTGGTCCCCCCAGATTTATAAACCGGTGGGCCTACCCCCGATTAATCAACCACCACTTCGGAAATCCATTTTTTTATCCAACATTTTTTATTTCCAATTCTATTTATTTCCAATTGATTTTTACCTTTTTTTTAATCATCATTGTTATACTTCAGGTTTAAGTTGATCATTGAAAATTTCAAAAAACAACTATTCCCCAAATGATCGATTTCTAATTAAAATATTTATAAAAAACATCAGTTTGGATAGCTCCCAAAGGGTACCCCCCATGAGCCCATGTCCCCCAGTAATAATAACCATGGTTTGCCCCTGATTAATCAACCACCTTTCTGATCCATGAAATTTTAACAAATCCAATGGAATTCTATTAAGATCTAATTGACGTAAGCCATATCCAAAGTTTTATGGTTCAGAGTTGCTTATTATTAAGGGATGGTCAAGAAGGTACCCCCCTACCTTCTGGGGGGGGGTTATTAATCCGGTGTTGGCATTACAACTTATAAGTGGGGATATTTCGGATATATAACCAGGTTGTAAGTTATATAGGGGTAAAACTGGATATATTACCTATATATATATATACACATTAAAACAAAAACCTCTAAAAACCCATTGATTGACCGTTAGGATCCAAGGTGATCCAAGCATGATAGATATTTATTGTTTTTTTCAAAGAATAGCAGCAAATGGTTAGACACATTATGAAATATCACATGTTTTTGTGGGGGGGTATTCCCAGTTAGGGGGAACAAACACCAGTCACTGGCATGAGCAACGACCGGGGTCCGGGGATGGCTGATGGTATTCCTATGGATCCAAAGACTTCCTTAAAAGATGCGGAAAAAAAAACTGAAATTATACCCCTCTTATGCCTCCGAAAAAAACTACTTCGCTTTTTTTGGGGATAACATATATACCAGTGGAACAGACACCAATGGCAATTTATAATCAGTGAAATCTTGGCCGCAAAGACCCAACAAAAACACTTTCATGATTTAAGAAAAACATGGGATAATAATAGATTGAATAATAGATTGAATCATCTAAACAACACTTTTATGTATATATATATACTTTTATCGTAAAGCCAAAAAGATCCACAATCAGCCGCTATCGATTTCTTGGGGAACCTCTCTTCATAGCCGGCCTCCGTGAGTTGCTCGGGATGGACGAGACGCCGCATCAAGGGAGCCACCTGCGTCGCTGATTTCATGGTGATTTGATCTGCAAAAAGTGTGAAAAAATGGGAATATTTCCATAGATGCGGGTACCAATAACCAAGTCCTGGATGACCATGACGACCTAGTGACTTCGAAAGCTAGTCATGGTTTTGGGGTACAACTAGTTCAGGAAACCTCCGAATAGCTATGGCGGATGGCCCTGGATGGCCTGGCGATTCTTGTCATGAAGGCATTAATTTCCCAATTTCCAATATAGACCCTCAATCTTTTGAAGGAATGGTATGTTACTCTAGCAACAGTGTCCTTTTGGGAAGAATATAGGGGTGGATTTGGCATAAGACTTATCATCATTTATCTTTTGATTGTCCAACAAAGGGCAGCTCCTCTACCAACCAACCAACCAACCAATCAACCAACCAACCAACCAGTGGGAAACTATGGGAAACTCACCGTTTTAAGTTGGGCCCCTAAACAAAGCCACACATCAATCAGCAGAAACGATAGTTCAACAGGCAATATACATTTAGCTTTGAGGGTAAGCAGTTTGACACCCTGGGCAAAAATGGTTTGGAACATGGAGGCAAGCACAGCTCCTTAGCTCCCTCCTAGCCATCGGATAGCCATATTCTTGGCTACATAACAATGTACATATGTATATATATATAGACATGTTTATACATATATCTACGCATATCTAATTATGGACATATATTTTAAAAATATATAGAAATATATATATATATATATTTAAAACAAGATCATGTAATATGAAAAATATAATATAATATCTTATAATATAATATAATATAATATAATAATCATATATAATATATGTATATATACACGTACATAAATTGCCCATTGGCTACCATGGACTCCCTTAAATGGTTGGTGAATGATGGTGAATTTTGGTGACCCAGGCTGCACCTCATCTGTAGTGATCAGCTGAGTCTGAGCGGAACACGGGACGCTCAAAACGGATGGAAAATCAATCCCAAGTTGTCCAGAAGATCCTACATCCCGATCTTGGACCATTTATATGGCATGTAAAAAGATTTAAAACAGGAGAAAACAACAATGAGATGAAACCCAAATATGGGTCAGTATTTGGTGGATTTTGATATGTTTTTATATGTATAATATATGTTTTTATATGTTTTTCCTCCATCTTGCTGAGTTTTTATTTGGTTTTATCCTCCGTTTTGGCTGCTTCAATCCCGCTTAGTTGGAAGCCATTTTGGGCCTTCTTGCGCGTGCGCGGCTGCACCATGGGGCTGACGATGGACCACAGCCTTCGCACGGCCATGTTGACGCCTGGCAACGGCTGGTGAAATTCAAAAAGATTATTGATGATCTGGTGATAATAACCATCAATAATCAACAATAATAAAATATATATAGTGATTATTGATGATTATTTAGTGATTATTTAGTGGTTATTGATGATTATTGATGATTATTGATGATTATTGATGATTATTGATGATTATTTATGATTATTGATGATTATTGATGATTATTGATGATTGTTGAGTGATTATTGATGATTATTGATGATTATTGATGATTATTGATGATTATTGAAGATTATCGATGATTATTGAAGATTATTGAAGATTATCGATGATTATTGAAGATTATTGATGATTATTGATGATTATTGATGATTATTGATGATTGTTGATGATTATTGAAGATTATTGATGATTATTGATGATTATTGATGGTTATTGATGATTATTGGTGATTATTGATGATTATTGACGATTATTTAGTGATTATTGATGATTATTGATGATTATTGATGATTATTTAGTGATTATTTAATGGTTATTTAGTGATTATTTAGTGATTATTGATGATTATTGATGATTATTGATGATTATTTAGTGATTATTTAGTGATTATTTAGTGATTATTGATGATTATTGATGATTATTGATGATTATTGATGATTATTGATGATTATTGATGATTATTGATGGTTATTGAAGATTATTGATGATTATTGATGATTATTGATGATTATTGATGATTATTGATGATTATTGAAGATTATTGAAGATTATTGAAGATTATTGATGATTATTGATGATTATTGATGATTATTGATGATTATTGGTGATTATTTAGTGGTTCTTGATGATTATTGATGATTATTGATGATAATTGATGATTATTTATTGATTATTGATGATTATTGAAGATTTTCGATGATTATTGATGATTATTGATGATTATTTAGTGATTTTTTAGTGATTATTTAGTGATTATTGATCATTATTGATGACTATTGATGATTATTTAGTGGTTATTTAGTGGTTATTGATGATTATTGATGATTATTGATGGTTATTGATGATTATTGGTGATTATTGATGATTATTGACGATTATTTAGTGATTATTGATGATTATTGATGATTATTGATGATTATTTAGTGATTATTTAATGGTTATTTAGTGATTATTTAGTGATTATTGATGATTATTGATGATTATTGATGATTATTTAGTGATTATTTAGTGATTATTTAGTGATTATTGATGATTATTGATGATTATTGATGATTATTCATGATTATTGATGATTATTGATGATTATTGATGATTATTGATGGTTATTGAAGATTATTGATGATTATTGATGATTATTGATGATTATTGATGATTATTGATGATTATTGAAGATTTTCGATGATTATTGATGATTATTGATGATTATTTAGTGATTATTGATGATTATTGATGATTATTGATGATTATTGATGATTATTGATGATTATTGATGATTATTGATGATTATTGGTGATTATTGATGGTTATTGATGATTATTGATGATTATTGATGATTATTGATGATTATTGATGATTATTGATTATTATTGATGATTATTGATGATTGTTGATGATTATTGATGATCTGGTGAGTGTCAAGAGGAGACCATTTACAACCAGGTTTTCAACCATGTCATACTCATTCAATCATCAGAGAGATGATCCTGAAGAAAAACACATGGAACCATATGGAACCAATACAATAGCAAAATCATCTTTCAAACCGATTCGGGGCTGCGTGCTTTCAGCGAAGTATGCATCAAGATTCACATCACATGCCCACGGGACTCTAAATGTCAACCATTTGTAGGATTTTCAACTTAGTTCAGGAAATTGAACTCTGCCAAAATCGGCCTATCATTGCACTGAAGAGAAGTCTATTTATATTTAAATATATATATATATTACATATGGCATCAGGTTGATTCAGGTTGTCAACATCAAACCGGTGCTCCGCTGCTTTCATTGCTCTTTCACCGCATGTCACATCGTGGTAACAAGCACTTACGGGCCATTGTTGTCATTTCTTCCGCGCGCCTAAAACAAAGATTTGGGCCACACGGTCAGGGTAGTAGGTATTGCTTTCCTGGACAGCCGTGCTCTGGGTGTTGGTTGATCGGGATTCCCGGTCCCAGAGGCTTCTCTCCCTCCATCGCCATCTGACTTTATCCTCAAAGATGCTTTACAACCTTGAAACACGGGTTCTCAGTACAAACTACAGGATCCCTTTGTCCAATTCTGGCAAAACCCGTTATTATCCCATTATATATATATCCCATAATAGTGACCCATTTGATACACAGAGCGCTCCTTTTTCACGATTTTTCATGATTCAATACTGTATATGTTAAGTTAGCCTCTGGTTATTCAGCCATGGAAAATGGTCGTATTCACTAGCTAATTCATCTATTTTCATAGGTGGCCAAACATTTTCGCCCAGTTACTAATCACCACAACGACTACTATTGAAATAATCAACAATAATCATCAATAATCACTATAAATAATATATATATATTAACTTATTCAGTTCACACCATTCTTGACCACTAATCACCACAATAACCATTCTTACTAACCATGATTACCCTCTGGTAAACTAACATAACTATGGAAAATCACCATTTTAATGGGTAAATCCACTATTTCTATGGCCATGATCAATAGCTATTTTGACATAACCAGAAGGTAACCACCATAGCCATGGCGAGCATCTTGGATCATCACTTTGATCGCCGTCATGGAAAAGTTCTGCCGGACGGCGCCCCTCACGTCCAACACGACCACCTGGGGAACCAAGGCCGTGGTCCACGGCCTGCTGGGGGGTGCATCCCATTTCGTAAAGGGGTGAACAAAAACCAGTTAGATTATATAATCTGGTTGGTGGTTGACCTACCCCTCTGAAAAATAACAAAGTCAGTTGGGATTATAATCCCCAATATATGGAAAATTAAAAAATGTTCCAGAACCACCAACCAGTAATGGAATATCCCTTCGCACACATGGGATTATAATTAATGGATTATGTGAACAAATGAATCCTTGTTCTGGATGTAGTCGAATAGTAGTACCTTGTGTGCTAGTTATTACCGAACCTCACTCAGGCATTGCAGTCAGCGCGCGGCCGTTTTCCTCTTGCGGGCGCTTGAGCCATGATGGCCGTAACATTGTTCATTGTTACATGTGCTACCGCTGTGTTCCCTTTGACACCCCCCATGCCCGTGGTATTCTTCGAACCACGGACACGAGAGAGGGAACTTTGAATTAGATTGGTTTCTGCTACTTGAATTACGCCTATGTACATAAAACGTGCCATTCGGCTCCCCCTTCCCCACATACCCGTCGGGAATAATGGTTCAGGGTTCGCCTACTCTCTGGCTGTCGATGCTTCGGCGCGTCATCAAGCTGTACAACGCGAATTATTGCTAGCTAACATCTACTTTTCTACGTTGGCTAGGCATACCACTCACCCGTCGGGAGAAATGGATCGCTTCGCTACTAAAGATTTACAATGCTAACTAACGAATTCACGTGCACAGTGCAGAATTCGTGCAGATTGGGAATATCAAAATCTTGAACCTAAGCGAATTAGTCTACTGCCTCGCTCAGAGTCCACTCAGTTGATCCTTTCCTGATCATCTGTTCACAAAGACGATACACATCTCATATTCCAGTGATCATTTTTACGGATCGAAGTAATTGGTTTACTGCTCACGGCGGACTTTCTTCCATTGAGGTGCTGTTGGAGTTCTCTCCCATCCTGCCGCACGTTTCGGAGCAGCTTTCGGCGATGAAGGCTTTGCAGGCGGTGCCTTTGATGGTTCATGGGATTTCGGCATAGCCTTGCCCTTTGGTGCACTAGCCGATGAGGATGATGCTGAACCAGTGCCTTCAGGTGCCTGTGAAGGTTGCGCAGTTGGTTTAGCAAACTTAGAAGCTGCAGTATGTCCAACCGCTTTGAATACTTCACTCACCACTTCGTCGCCAAGGGTTGGAGCCATCTTCGTTTTCATTTCGGTCTTTCCCCTCTGCGCCTCGGCCTCGGCCAGCTGAATAGCATAAGCCATCTTGCTGACAAAGTTTTGAGGTAAAGGAATGCCACATTGTTGGGCTGCAAAGAGCAGTTCTACTCTCTGTTCTTTCTCCCTCAGGCTCAGATATACCGAGAAAGCTGGGAGTTCGATGCAGTTGGGGAAGCCGTGGCTCCCGGAGCGAAAGAAGGTGTATGACTCGTGCTCCGGAAAGGTTCCTTTGAGCAGTCGTCGAAGGAAATTGCTGATGGTTACTCGCATCTCCTGTTTCCCTTGGGCATCAGCCTGCATTCGGTTCATTGGCATGAGAAAGCCTAATGACTCAGGAGTGTACCCAGCACGTACCAGAAATTCCATCATCTTTTCATAGATCTCTAAAGTCTTGATGACTGGCATCATCATGTTTCTTGGTTGCCCTGAGTATAACTTCTCTCCTTCTGACCATGAATTCCTCTTCCCTTTCTGCTGAAAGAGTTCATCCAGTTCCAGCTCCGTCGGTCGCTTGAGGTTGCCATCCTGGTCTTCTCCTGTATAAGGACAGAAGTCGTCCAGGTCCAGCCGGACTCGCTTGGTTTCCGTCATCATCTCATAGTACTCCTCTGGGGTCAGAGTGACTCTCTGTTTGTAGTAGAGCCTGAACATTGTGATGACCTTTGACATGACAGCATTGTCATACAAGTGAGCCGCGGCCTCGGAGACATCGTTGTTGATAAGTCCGTCTTCTGGCATACCCTTGCTTCCGCTCTTGAGGTTCTTGGTCCATGCTGGAAGCTTGGTAGAGGATTCATCTTCAGGTTCGACTTCCATTTCATCTTCGTCTTCTTCAACGATTTCGTCGTCTTCCTGTTGGGCTTCCTCCTCCTGATCCATTTCTTCATCATCGCCTTCGTTGTAGTCGACCTCGTCGGGATTGAAGCCATAGTCGTTGGATTCGGATACGTTTTCTTGTGCTTGATGGACCGTATCCTTGAACAACGATTCTTCTTGTCGACGAACTTCTTCATCGATCTCTTTCTTCGTGGCCTCATCTTCATCGTCTTCAGGAGCTTGTAGCCGATAGGGACGGATTCCACAACTTTCCAGTTCCGTCCAGCAAACTAGACACACTGCTAGTTTTGTCGGCGTCTCATTGAGACAGTGAGGACAATGGCGGCAACCTGATGTTTGCACCCTTTTGCGTTCGACTATGTAGTCAATCAGCTTGATGCGGGCCAGGTATTGTTCTTGTCCGCCAGGCTTGATGAGGTCGTTCTTGAATTGGTTGACGATGTTCATGGCATCCATGGCGGTTTCGTCAAACGGTTGATCTTCGGCGTCGATGCATTGACTTGCAACCCTCAAGATGGACTCCTTGGTGGCTACCGTTCTTGATTTGACAGTTCCAGACCGGACTACCTGGTCGTCGCCCGACGGGACGAACAACCGGAGCCATGTCTTATTGTTTTGGTCCTTTGGGTCCTGAATCCATCCTCCTTTGATTGCCGAGAACGGGATGATCTTTGGTGAGACGATCTGTCCCGAGTCAGTCAGTCGACCGCCATATTCCACCATCAAGGTCTCGGTCGGGATGAACAAGAAAATGTAGTCCCCCTTTCGCGTATCAACGCTCTTCGTGATAGTCCATGATCTGTGATCCCATGGCACGTACGGGTTGAAGAACGTGAACATCCGATGACCTTCTCCAAGACCTCCTGGAATTAATCCCTGCCTCCAAATGCTTCGAAGGTTGGTCTTCTTGGTGATGTGGAAACAAACCGGTAACGACAAAATGGTGTTGGGCGCGATTGGATGTGAAAGTAATGAGGACAGCAATGAGACGTCGTCCCTCGAAGATCCTTCCTTGTGCCCCGTAGGAGCACGGACCGCCACAGGGTAGAGCAGTAGACCTTCATCAGGAATGTTCGTGTTCGCATCGACTTTGTTGTCAATGCACGTCAGGCTGGTGCGCTCGATGTCCTTGTTGATACCAAATGCCAACACTTGTTCACGAACACGACGTCCATACCGGGCACAGTGGAACATAATCTTGAAGAGCAACGTCATGCGGTAGTTTGCCTCATCGACATTCCATGCACTCTGATCATTTGCTCTTCCTTTTGGAGCAAGGAATACATGTGGCCAGCGTGCGTACTCGTGCCTCCAGATGGACTCACATTTGAGCACCTCCTCGATGGGCACCCAGCCGGCGTCATCACATGACAGACTCTGTTGTTCTGATACCTTCCCCACGTTGTGCCGCAGGATCCTGTTTAGTGATGTACTCACCTTGTCCTCGTAGGTATTGAGTCGGTTGCCAGTCTCGAATCGGTAGTTGGCCGCACATTCTACACCGCCAAAGTAAGAGCAGTTGAAGAAATGGGCCCCCGTGGTCGGGATGATTTTCAAGAAACCATCTTGCGGCGCCTCGACTCTCTTGTAGAAGGGCTTCCTGATGTTGTTATCAGAGTAGCTTGCCATAAAGTCTGGCACTGACCAAGAGTCACCTCCTCCTCTGACAATAGCGTCTCTGACCACTTCGTTGAGGTCAACAATGTTCTGTGGTCCTGGCTTTGTCACATCACGTCCTTCTATGCAGAATCTGCCATACTCATCGAGGTCACCAACTTCAGACATAGTTCTGATGCTGTCGTACCATTGGTGTTCACCAAACCTCGATTTTGTGGGTTCATCCGTTTGCCCCGACCCATCAGTAGCACCTGAACCGTCCTTCTTGTGCTCAGGAGGCTCCATATCGACGTCATCAGATGTTGGACTATCAGCCTCGAGCGACGCTCGGACGGCCTTTAGCACTTTTCTGACTTCATCTCTCTTCTCATGTTCACATTCAAGATGGCCATGTTGGGTGCTACCACAATACAAGCACACGTTGACATCCTCAGAGACGGTGAAGAGTTTTCCCAACGCATCCAAAAGTTGTTGTTTCCCGGAATTCTCTGAGTCCCTGACCACATCGGTGGGGTCGTTCGCTGGCTCATCAGCTTCCTCCTCCCCAGGGTGAGCCGACGACTCGTCACCTGGCTTGGCATCGGCATCAGTGCCCATGCTGGCGTCACCCCCTGTGATGTTGTTCTTCCTGCGATAATGAGAGAATACCTGATCCTTCTCCCAGTCCGTGAGGCAGCAGAAATTGGCCAGCGAATCATATCCGGGGATTGCGTGGATGAGCTTCATGACCCTTTCGGCTTCTGCAGTTTGCAGTGTGCAGTCGAAGGATCCCCGTCTCTTGTCATTGATGGTGCTCGAGGTTCGGGAGGTCGATGTAAATTGAGCCAGTGCCTTTTCCAATCCATTGAGATACTCAGCTGGATCAACACTAGCATTGAAAACATCTACGACTCCCTTGGCCATATTGGCCACGTCCAAGACACCAAGCCAGAACTCGATGATATCTCCAGTTTTCTCGGCAGATGCACGGGAGAATCCAAAAATCTCGTTCCTCTCCTTCACCTCGGGAACGGCAACCTTCTCGAAGAAGTCTTTGTATGCGACATTTCCGCAATCCTTTGTGACTCTATAGATCAAAAGCCACTTCTTTGCAACATCATCGAAAACTCTTTCGCGATATATGCTGAATTGCTTGCCGCGTCCGTTCCGGAAAATTTCCAGAGCTTGCCTCTTCGAAATTCTGACTCCTCCCATGTGAGATAGAGATTTCATCAAGTGCTCCCCATACGCCAACGATGCATTTGAAATCAACGAAGACGCAGTAAATGTGAGCCATGTTTGGAATCCTTGATTGATGTCAACAATGTCAAC